ATTAGTCCGCTGTTTGAGTAGCGAGTAGTATACAATGTCAGTTGTTTCGGCAGTTTTTTGTGACTATTTCTTCAGAGAAATTCGCAAAGGCAACGAGGTTCAGATTCGCTAGATCGTCCCCCTGGTACCGGGATTCGTTCACCATCTCGAAACTAAACATCTCAGAATGCAGTATCAACCTTTTGTGGAAACACCTCCGCGATACTTTTGCAATGGAGCAATTTTTACATTTTTTATATTTTTGTCCCTAAATGATCAATATTGCAGCGTTACGACTGAAAGATTATCACAGAATTCTCTTCTAACAACAAAACCATATGCGACAATATGGCTAATGTGGTTCAGGTCGAATACGGTCCAAACTGGTACATCGATCATCCGTCGAGTAATTTCTCATGGCACAGCTCGCATTTCAACGTGCAAACGAATGGTAAATGGTCAAAATCTGAAATGGCTGAGATTTACAAGAGATACGATAGGTGATGCCTACTAGCGACGTGACTGTTTACTTGTATCGAAAACCTACCCTTCCATGACTGAGACGGAATTTTCTTTCGTTATCATTCCTTATCCAAGGACAACCTTTTGCGTATGTCTTGATTCGTCATGTGAAATGGTCGACTTTTTCTGCATGTTGATATCCCTTATGGAGGCACGTTTTTGCGTTCTTTCTGGTGCTGACCACGACAGCCTTTCTGAGAATAAACTGTAGTCCACAGCCTTCAACAAAAAGATGACGGATAAAAGGCCGCTACTTCTCAGCATGGCAAACCGGCAATGCCCCGCCCACGCCCGCATACATTATGTATATGACGATATGATTCAACGTTGTTTTTCGATTTAACATTGAATCATATCGTCGGTGTTGTATCAGTCGCGGCGATGTTGTCTCTCCTAGCTTTTTTCATTCCTGGTGAAAAGGAAACGAGAAGGGAAAAAAGGCGATATCATTTTGACACCATCATAGAGAGACTCGAGGAAGTGAGAGCTCGTTCAAGTCGATGGCTCATTTTGGCATAAAGTACTACATGGGGCATTTTCTAATTATTCTAATTTTTTTATTTTCTAATTCTAATTCTTCGGTTTTCCTCCTTTTTCCCTCTCTCCTTCACTGCTGAATTGATTAATACTTCGTCATTAGTACTTGCTAACCACTACTAACCATTTTGCGGGAGGTGCCTTTACATGCACTAGGTAGTCAAATTCAGTAACCCTCGCTGGGCGATTAACAATGATGGTGTGCCCTGTTCGGGATTGTGAGAGAACTGGCGTACCATATGTGGTCGCGATCACTTTCTTTCCTCTTTGTTAGTGCGCTAAGGAGGGCAAGATTCGCACTAATCTGACGATTAACCTCCTTACAGGCACAATGTGTAGGAGTGACTTGAATGGTTTGGCTCTGGCCCCCTGACTTTTTCATTCCATTAGACTTCTTACGTTTCCCTGTTATCATTGACTAGTTTTGTCACTCTCTTTTCAAATACCGTCTGTTACGCCCTCATACAGTTGTTTTGAAAATGCGTGATATGTTTACTTATTTTAGATTTTGTTACAGCTCGTGTTCTAACAAATTTCTGACACTGTATACATTTTGTAGATAATAAATGGTTTTTGCACAATTAACTTCCTTTTTTCAAATCATTTCTGGTTGGGGATTCAAAAAGATGGGATTACGCATTTGGCGATGACCAATTCCTTCTCAGGATGTGCCACACATTCTACTTCCAGTCCTTTACTAAGGTTTTTAGAAACGACTTACACGAGGCTCTTGCGGGAACCGATGGATATATGTAGCTTTGCCCCCAGTTTTGTCCTATGGGTCCCGTAACAATTAACCAAAGCGCGAAGGGATGGACTTTACTGGCCCATTCGTTCCGTTAACTACAGGTAGTCTTAAACGCTTATCCCTCTTTTTACACCAACTTTATTATTCCAATTCTATGGGGGAGGGGGTTTCTCCGAAGGCAAGTGACACCATTCACCGCATGCAATCTCCAAACATCAAACTCCCGACCAACCCTCACTTGGGCCCATAAAGACCATCACCGGTTGGTTAATTGTTACTAGATTACTAGAAAACGACAGGCAGTGAGATTGTAGGAGAGACAGACAGGTCTCATTCATTTAGCGATGTTGAGGTGAGGGGCAAGACTCTTCGTTGAGTGCGGACCACAAACAAGAGCTTCTCAGAATGAAAAAAAAACCGACCCCAAGGTTGTAACCGTTAAAAATAGCAATATTACTATATTACATACAACTGTTTTCCAGATGAAATTCGTCGCCGTAGCGTTCACCTTGGTCAGGTTGACATCCGGTTTCCTATTTCCTGATTCCAACTCAGGTTGCGGCTGCAATACTTGCCCTCCACAACCAGTCTGTCCACCTCTTCCGACCTGCCCACCAGTACAAAGTTGCCCTGCTCCAGTGAGTTTATCATGCATTTTCTCTCATAGACCTTTTGTGAATGCTCACTGAGGTATTATAACTCTCCTTACAAATAGGGCGTAAGGATCAACAAATTCAACCTTGACTAGCCCTTTCTAAAAAGCGCGACGAAGCATTCCCACTCAGAATCGGAATGTCGCTGTGAACAGGCGCAGGATGAATGGGATTCCTCATCGGAGCGGGGAGTGGGGTCAAGGCAGAAAAACGTCATTCTCCTTGTCAGCTAAGCGGCCAGCGACAGAACTTTGTCGTTACTGGTAACTGATCGAAGGAGCATCTTCAAGCGGTTCTATATTTGGAAGTAGGGCGCTTTGTTGAGCTTTCTGAACCTTGACCTTGACCACAAACTTGACTTGCGGGACCAGCCGATATAAAAGCCAATGTTTTCATCCCACCACACAAACGTTGAATTAGCTTACAAAGGCCACTGAGGGAGAACGCCTAGTTGGTCCCAGCCGATTGGTCTTCGACCATTTTGGATAAAGAGTTGACCATATGCCCTTACTTGAGCTTCACTCTTGATTATCGGTATTTCCTTCGCTTCACATAATTGCTCCTACAATTCGTGCTTCGAGCTCGCGAGGACACTTCCCTAACTATTTCCTGGATTATCGCCCCAATTCTAGTTAATCTTCATTTTATAAACCAGTAACTTTGTGTGTCGGTTTGTATGTATGTAAGTATGTAAGTATGTATGTAAGTATGTATGTATGTATGTAAGTATGTATGTATGTCTGTCCGTCCGCAAATCGAATTACTGGAGGGAAAAACGACCGCTAGGCAAACCGGTAACCTGATTGGTAGGATGTATCATCCAATGTTTTGATTGTGATAACAGCCTCCACTATATAAGACAACCATTCGGTACACTCCGAGCCATTGCACGAGCTGCTGGCGTGGCAGCTGGACGTGTGCTCGTGCGGGGGCAGGGTGGGGGGCCAGGTCGCCCTGCCTCCTTCTCCTGCATGTGCTCAGCCGGAGCTGAGCACATGTATTGGAGGGAGGCAGAGGGAAGGGGTCGCGGGGAGGGGGGGTACAGTGAGGGGTGCGTAGCGCGCGTTTCAGTAGAAACGCACACCAATGGATGAGGAAACAACCGCTAACAAAACTGCCCAATCTATGTTACCGTAACGAACTAAGAAGTTGTTTTGGTTTTTTTGGTCTTATATAGTGAGAGTTGTGATAACACTCTCCACTATATAAGAAAACCACTACACTCCGAGCCATTGCACGGGTTGCTCGCGTGGCAGTTGGACGTAAGCGCGTGCAAGGGGCAAGGTGGAGGGGGGGGGGGAGGGTGGAGTGGCGAGTACGGAATGGGGTGAGGTGAGGAAGGTGGGAGTTAGTATCGAGTGACCCCCTTCTCCCATCCTCACTTCCTTGCGCGTACTCAGTCGGATCTGAGCCCATGCAGGGGAAGGAGGCATATGGATTGAATCGGGCAAACTGGGTACAGTAAGGGGATGCGTAGCGTACGCTTGGATAGGAGCAGGCGGCAAGACAGAAGGAAAGAACCGCTAGCAATTAGAAACAAAGAAAAACAAATATTGGGGAAAGGAATACACTCAACATCACAGAAAACTGCAAGCTAATCCATGTTACAGCAACGAACTAGGAAGCTGTTTGGATTGTGAATCGCTCCCCTATCTAAGCCAACCACTGTGATAGACTCTGTGCTATTGCAGGAGCTGCTCGCTTGGGAGCTGGACGTGAGCACGAGCAAGGCGGTGGTAAGAACAGTGGCGGCGTAGTGTCCCTATGTTGCACCAGCTGCTCACGTGGCGGCTGCATACCACGTGCGGGAGTGGGCGCCAGTTAAATAGGGTCAGTGGGATATGATGTGGTGAGGGGGATACCAGATGAGAACGGCGATTTCGCGATTAGGAGCACATAGCGCCTGCGGCGGTAAGGCGTCTACGGTTGCGATAAGATGGGAAGAAAATGGATCGACCGCAATCGGAACTGAACCGATTAATGTTGCATTATCAAATTGTGGTAGCGTTTTGATAGTCATAACACCCTCCACAACATAACACAACCATTTAGTGCACTCAGAACCATCACGGGCTATTCGCGTAGCAGCTGAGCGTGACCTGTAGGGTGGCTGATCGGGGAATAGCTGAGGTTAGTTTGGGATAGGTGAGGTGGAGGGGTACCATATTGGCGCGACCGACGCTCGCCTGAACAGGAGCACGCAGCGACTGCGGACGAAGCATCCTTGGCTGTCATAAGATGGGGTGGAGAGTAATCGATTATCCATGACCAGATTTTGAACTTTTCATTATGAAAGTGCCCTGCGATCATATGGCGCGTTTCTACATTCATTTGATTAGAAGACAGCGTTAGTCACGACTCTAAAGCAGTTGCATGAGCCCGGCGAAGCCGGGCTTCCAAGAAGGAGGAGAGCTCGGCGTTAGCCGGGCGATCCGACTGGTTTATTTAAATAAGTAAGGTACCCGTGGTTGGAAGCTCTCCGCTAAATTCAACAGCTCCTGCTACCCTCAGCAATAATCACCTTCAAAAAAGGCAGTTTCACCTTGTTAATCAAACACATCATGTCAGAAAATGTTCAGACACCTGTATGTTGTGATACATGTGCGTGCAAGACTGCTACAGAAAGGAAGAAGAGGGCCGTTCAAGTGGGCCAGACAGAAGGCGTATTCGTTGTAGACCATGAGAAAATTCATAACAAATCGGTGGGTTTATGCTTTTTTCTTCCCTTTCACTCTAGGAGTTCAGACTGCACAGGCTGAAGAAACTCGTTGGAAACGCGACGTCCTTGATGAAGTGGTGAAAGTGGACGCGAACTGTAACAGTGAGGAATTGAGAGCTATCATAATCGAGGTAAATGACCTTATCAGAGAACCTACTTTGCGCTAGCAGAGCGTTTTATTGTAGAACGTCGACCGTATAACTTCCGTTTCGAAGAGAAGAATTCAAGCCGAGTGCGAGAGCAGCCTCAACGGAAGGTGAGTCTGTTAACTGGCAGAAGAGATGCACATCAGTGGCATCGATTTCCTGCGGTACAGATCTGCTCCTTGAATATTGAAGCCAGTTCCCCCGCGAAATGCCTCCGTGCATTCAGCATCCAGCTCTGCACTCGCATATCACTTTTGTCACTGGAAGAGGCGAAATAAAGCGGCCACGAACCTTGTGAGGCTTGTGGGTTTTGTTCTTTTCGGACTACAAGACAGCGGCTTACGCACATCACGAGTATGCATTCTTTCGCATGTAGCGTCGTAGAACGATTTTATTTGCTCGTCAAAGAGAATCTCAGCTTGTCGACACTTTTGGCGAGTTTACGTGTTGTTCTGCTCTCCCTGGATACCTTTTTTGTAGAGAATGAATTAATAACAATCCATTCGCAAAGCAAGATGCGTTTTTGCGCTACTTAAATTCAGCAGTGATGCAAGTGCATTGGTGCAAACGCTCGCCCTGCATCGCCTACCATAGTCCTAACTTCAAGCGCAGTATTTGAAAGCTGAATTCCGTTCCAGTGTTTTGTTTTTCGTCTTTTTCTCGTATTAAATGGCCGCTTGAAAAAACGGCCCGGAGGCCGCAAGGTATCGAGTTGTCAGCAAGTCAGCAGCACTCGCAGAGACTGAGACTCTGTGACTGTCGACAGGGCACATGATTGGTTGGGGATTTTAGTCGACTCTATACGAAACCCCCCCCCTTTTTTTTGGAGTTGGTACGACTCCCCCCCCCCCAGCCCTCTGTCCTTCCTCATCGAATCGAGCCGTCGAGCGGGGGAGGGGGGGGGGGGGGGGGGGGCATATAGTACGCATGAAACAGGAAAATCACCAAAAGTCAACCACCACTCCTACAACGCCAAAACGTAAATACGACCCCCCCTCCCAACAATGACCAAGTACGACCCCCCTTTACAACGTCCGTGAAGCGAGAAAAATCAACTATCAAAATAAATTTTTCCAGCCCAAATACGACCCCCTCCCCATTGGGGATTCCCCAACAACGATGTGCCCTGACTGTCGAGGAGGGATTTTGCGCACACTGTTCTTGAGGTTTTATTGCTCCCTTCTATTGGGAGTTCACTTGTCGGCTACTGGTTTATGACGGACTACAGCTACAGTCCTCATCATTACGGACTGTCGGGGCGGCACAGCCGCGCTGCAATGTGACGCGACAGCGGCTGCGGCTCGGTGACGGCGAATCAGCTGATTTCCATGGAATTCGGCTGCGAATTCCCACTTTTTCAACTCTTCGAGCTTCGAAAGTGGAAGGTGAGTTATTTTGAGCAATTTTAAATTGTACTGACTCTGAATGAATCTGAAAGAATGCAAGCCATTTGAATAAATGCCTGAAATAAGGCAAAATACAAGGAAAAGAGCATATAATCGACATATAAAATAAAGAAAATCAGAGCCAGTGCAATTCAAAATTGTTCAGAATAAATTTCACTTTGGAAGCTTGAAGAGCTGAAAAAGTGGGAATTTCGCAGCCGAATTCCATCGAAATCAGCTGATTCACCGTCACCGAGCCGCAGCCGCTGTCGCGTCACAGTGCAGCGCGGCTGTGCCCTCGACGGTCTACGTACAACTTGAAATCAATCCCTTTGAACGCGTCGATGTTCTCTTTTTCTCTGCACTCTCTTGTCCGCATGGCTCTCTATGGCTGTTGTGACTTACTCCTGCTTTTCACCGACTATAAGTAGCTCACCCACCCCGGAGTCCCATCCCCTTGAAAAATCCCGTTTCCTGGCTCGCCATATGTTTTTTGCACGTTTCGATGCTTTTACGCCGCTGCCCACAGGACCATGCACAAAAGTTCAAGATTTCACCTAACCCGTCCTGACAGTCCGTAATGATGAGGAGTGTAATACTACCTAGATCGCGGAAATTACCTCCAAAGGTCTACTTTCGACTGCATCTTGTATGCGGTGATCTTCATGTGCAACCGCTAAATGCATCCTTATTGACGAAAATGACGGAAAAAACCACTAGAAGAACGGTCAATGTGACCCGTACAGTTGATCCTCCTTGCAGTTGAATTTGATGAATGGGTGAGAGTACCAAGAAGCGAGACAATAGAAACTGAACAGAAATGAAAATTGAAAGATTCAAGACAATGAATAATAGAGCAAAAAGATAAGCCAAACGACAAACACCAACGCATGCCAACCAAAGAGGCGGGCACGGTCCTATTGGGTATGTGTGGGCCTAATTCATGAGTGCGTAGTGCGCTTCAACACACTTTCGGGCCAGGGAAAAAGGCGTAGCATCTGTGAATGCAGACTTGGTAATTCCACACACGAAACGCTACTCTGACAGCTTACTGCGGAATGTGCCCTCAAATGTTTCCGCAGAAGAAAAAAAATTGTGATCGCTCGGCGTTGATCAAGCCCCTGCAAAGCCGTAATTCTCACTTCAGTGCTAATCGTACCAGGCAACACAGTCAGGTGTGCACCCTTTCTATAGTCGTAGAATGTAAGTGAAAGTAAATATTGATGTCGTTGTTTTCTCCCTTGCTCTTTGGAAATTCATCAATAATTGCCTGCTACTTTCAGGTACAATGTGATCTGTGCTCGTGGTGATTTCTCCTATATAACAAACACTGAAGAATTCTGCCAGCAAACCGTTGGCGATATCACTTGCTATGTTTTCAAGCAGCTGTCCGATGTAATTCGTGCGAGGCTTTCTTAATATGTTCTTCGACTGCATCAAAAGTACTTGAAATGCATACGAATAAACGTGGATCTTCCATAATCAGGAGTATTTTTGAATCTTTTCATAACTTGGACAAAGTTGTGGAGACGGAGACGGGCAAGGCAATTGTGATTTGCCTGTTCCGATGCTGTCTTTCGTCATCTAAGCTTGAGACAGCCGGCCTTTCCTCCCCTAACTCACTCCTCGGTGAATTGGACTCTATGAAAGCAGGATGAGCATGCGGTCAGTTCATTCAACGCGCCATCGAAAGGGCGATGCTCGGAGTTTCCCGCTACACGCAAGTGAAAGAAGGAATCCGGAGCTCAGCGATTCGCCAGCGATTAAAGATCAGGAGCGCATCCGCATTTGCCATCAAGATCAGGTGGGCCGGACACGTCATGTGTTTCGAGGACGACCGCTGGACCAGAGCTATTACCGACTGGATTCCACGGGATGTCAAGCGAACGCCTGGACGACCGCCTACGCGATGTCAGACTTCTTCGTGTATGATGTTATAAGGTCCCTTGAGCACAGGGAACCCGTTGGGCAATACTAGTTCCTTGCAGGGACGAATGGAGATGAGGTCGTACCAAGCTCCTCATTTAGGTGGGGGAAGGTCGTGCCAAGGCCTTCCCTCGAGGGTGGGTTGTAATGACACCACCAT